AGACTGTCCCCAGCCCCGAGGCTGCAGCCTGGCTGCACAGTGCATCGTGCCCTGGCTCCTCCCGTGACCGAGCGCCGCATCCTCATCGTGAGCATCGTCCGTGGAGAGCGGGAGCTCTCCCGATGTGATTCTTCGGTGTGATGTGCCTGCAGCATTGACTCATGTGCCATAACCCGATGTTGAATGCATTGTTTTTAAATAAAATGGTTTCTTGTGCATTGGGAGTCTGTAAAACTGCGCTGTGTCTGCCTCTTCCTTCCTGTGATTTCCTGAACTGCGCTGATAGGTTTTACTGGAAAACTTCATCAGAGGAGTTGCCAAAGGTGTTGCTTAATGCTCCCTATATCTCATTATGCAGCACAGTAAGCTTGGTGTGATGGATCAAATTCTGCACTCTCACAGAACACATGGAGGTATAAAACATGGGAGTCTGTGCACAGCTTGGCTCAGGGCATTTGCTCATTAATGTGAGTAACATTCCCAAGAACTTCTTATAACCCACTTCCATTACCTGGCCGCTTCCCAGGTGACTTGCTGCTTGCTCCAGCACTGCATGGTGTCCTCAGTGGCTCCCAGCAAGAATTCTGCCGTGGGTTTTTAGGTCTTCTGAGGGGAATCTCCCTCATGCCGTGTCCTGCACCGAGGGCAGCGGGTGCCACCCTGAAGTCACCCTTTCCCGGGGCGTTCGGATCAGCTGCTGGGTGTGGGTGCTGCAGAACACGCCTGGAGAACAAAAGAGGAGAGCAATTAAATTTCAGATTCCCGGGGGAGCCACAGCCCGAAACGGAAGGATGCCAGGCAGGAAAGCATAGCCAGGCCAGGTCAGCCCCAGGTGCATCCCATCCCACCATCCCCTGGGCACCACACCACTGCCTCCTCGGCGGTGAGGGCACAGGGAGGGGAAGGAGGAAAGCTAACAAAGTGATTCCCTCCTCCCACCCCAGGAGCAGAGGGAAAGCCTCTGGCAAGGGCAGCCATGCAGGAGGGAACGCTGTCCCGCTGCGC